TGGGGCTGGCCATTTCTCCCAAGCAAAAAACTTGTGAAGCAGTAGTCTAAACCAGATAGGTTTACAGAGAACTACCTTGCCAAAACATTTGATTTTTCAAAATATTCCTCAGCTTTGTAGCCAGAGATTACTAAAGTAAACAGCTTTACAGTCCTTCAGGAGAACCCAGTTCGACTAAGATGAAAACAAAGGAACAGTGATAAGTATAAATGTGATAAGGTAAAGCATTGATTTTCAGTCCATTACATTGCTCCTTTAAAAGGCATAAACTTCCTTGCATTACCTTCACAGGGAGATTAAATTCCTGTGCTTTCCTTGCCTAAAAAGAACTGATACAGAAATTCTCTTTTCAGAGTTCCTTTTCTCCAATATACCCATCTTACCATAGTACAGATAAGAAGTCCTACCCAAACTAGATCGTCTTCAATAGTTCATAAATTAATTTCCTTTCCTATTTAACATACAACACATTTTGTGCTAACAAAGCTTTAAGAGCTTGCTGGACTTTCATATTTCTGTCCCTGCAGTAAGGTTTCTGAGAATGTGGTCAAGACCTCACCCCAACAGAACCACATTAATAGCAATATATATATTATAATGTTATACAATGAATGACATGGTAATCTGTTTTAAACTCTTGTTTAAAGTTAATTCTGACCATGCAGACATTCCCTATCAACAACTCCTTTAAGTAAAGCTGAGAAGGACATATAAATGCGGATGTGAAGGGAGGTGGTGAACAGAGAGAGATCCTTTCCCATTCATGAAACAATTGAAACAAGTAAACAGTACACTATCAATAAGCAAACTCTGACAGCATTCCCCCTAAAATCTTACTAACACAGAAACATGGATGCAAGTAGGTTGTGAGGCCTAAGATGAATACAGCCAGTAAAGATCTCTTTGATCCATCAGTGCTGTCTCATCCAAAGCACAGGGAAGGAAAAGGCAAGAGGGTACACATCCTAAGTGGAGGGAAATGGGAACACTCTCTTCATAAAATGAAAAGGAGACAGATGTACTAAGACTGATGGCATTAGTCTTTAGGCATTACCTTTTCTACTGGTGTTTTCCCCCAAATTTAGGGCCATTCCCCTTCAAAGATCCAACTGTTTGAATGCAGGCTCTGAACACTCCAACTGGAAAGCCTGTCCTTTAAATATTCCTAGACAGTCCAAAAGCATGGGCATTTAATTTTCCCTTGGTGAGAGAACTAGCTTACCAAGAGGGAACCCCCGACTACAGATGTAACCATTGTGACTTCCAACATTGTGTGACAGAAAGGTAACGGAAGACAAGCTTATGCTGACCTCTGCAAAACAGGACAAGACAAAAGATGTTGCAAAAAGTGATTTCATGTTCTAACAAAAGTTTGCACCAGGTCAGTAGTTACCTTCATTTTGCAATGGTTTTCAACACTAGACCTTCAGTTATTGCTGCTCCTTCTGAAGCTTCAAAGGAACAGGGGGAAAAGGCCTGAGTAAAACCTGAGTTTATTGTTTCTAGGAAAGAAGAGGTTGGAAATTGTAAGATGAAAGTGAATAAAGGGCAGCATAAACAATTGCAGCTTGCAACTTACAATGAGTTTTCAGAATTCCAGACAGAAGAGTGTCCTTGGGAGTGCAACTTCCACCTCTGCTTGCATTGCTGTCCAGCCCTGAAATCTTATACGTATCAAATAATACCACATGCTTTGAAATCTAAATATATTCCTCTTTTCCCCTTAAACAATCAAGTTATGCTCATGCCTTTTTTTTTATTATTATTTTATTGTATTGTTTAACCATTTCCTTGTCTCTCTTCTGCCACCCCCACTCCCCCTGCCCCCAGCTTAACTACTGGGAATAATTTTAATTTTATTGCTTCAAATAACAGGAATTTCAGGTCAAAACTTTCCTAGATTTACAAGAGGACATTTTAGAGACTCAGAAGTTGTTTACCGCCTGTTCTTACAGGTTAGATGAAAGATGTTACCTGTTAAACACCTCAAAGAGAATATCTGTGTTGAGATGAATACAAGTTGTGATTAAAATCTTCACCTTCTCTTTGCTTCTTTCTTGTCCTGATAGTACTAAGATAATACAGTATCTTTAACATAGAGATGGACTGAACTTGTGATGCAAAAAAAAAATGATGTGCAGAAATATGTAAAAGATGTACTGTAAAACTACTTCTACGACATGAACAAGAAACCGCAGAGGACATAAACTCAATTTTCTTCTCTTTGCAGTTCACTTTCAGACACCTTACAGTCAGCCCATCACTTCTCCACCTAAGTGGTACTTATTATTTTGTGCAGTTCCTGCCATAGGTTAGTGTGCTTTCCCTCAAGGAATTCATCATTACCAGTTCAACTAGTTAAGCTTCCCTATTTAAAGTGACATCATCACACTAAAACTTGTAATCACAACCATCATACACTTGTCAATAACAGGTCAAGCACTTTTTACAAAAACATTAGTTTACAAGACTAGAAATTGCTCATGAACATGGAAACAGAACAAAAGAGAAATATGACCTGATCAGCTTGTGAAGGGCTTACAGCCCCTTCAGAACAGTAATGAACAGATATAACCAAACAGCTGGGAGCCCAGAGGAGCATTTTCTGGCAGCAGATGCACTTGCTTTATAAAGACGGTCAGAGAAAGAGAACAAGTTTTGGTTGAAAGGAATTTCTATATAGCTGATCCCAGAAAAGCTACAGTCTCCATATAGGACTGGAACAAAAAAACTTAAAGACTTAAAGACATGACCATAAATGAGTACATTTAACCTTAGACTAACCAAATTCCTACTTGAGTGCTGACAGCCACCACCTGGAAGCTGGGTGAACAGTCCACAGTTAGTGTAACTCACAAATACAGTGAGACGTAATTGTTAACATTTGCAAAGCATAAAGTTCAGATGAAAAGGTTCACTACCACTCAGTACACACAGATGGAGGGAAGAGATAACACATTAGCTGTATTTGTTGAAGTGGTGCAATATATTCTAATTCTACAAAGAGAAGCAAATATGGCTATGCAGACGTGCATGCACACACATTCTCCTTCAGCCCATTTGCTACAAGCTGTATGTGTAACACAAAGATGCGATCCCGGAAACCCCGCTGCACTCACAGCTCATTCCATCTTTGCAGTATCCATGAACGTGGACAGTGTGTCTTGTAAACATCTTAAAATACAGTGGGGAAAAAAGACTTATATTCTGCATATTTTTCCCTTCTATTGCAATAAAGGCAGCATACAGAAGGCAGGGTAAGCAAAAATATCTGTATGTGTGTATAAGGAAAACAAAAAACAGTTTTATGCTTAATACATCCTTTATATCTTTTTGTTTTATGCTAATGTATCAGCAGTTGCTCCCAGTATTCTGACACCAAATGTCATGAGCACAGTTCTCACCAGGAAGTGCTGTGTTGCCATCTATGACATTCAGCAGAAGTGGTAGGGTTCCCTTCAGAAAAAACCCTGTAGCAGAAGATCGAAAATACCCAGAGAAGCCCAGTCACGCTGAAGGCAGTCACAGCTGATGAATCAGGATGACTGGAGAGAGTTGAGCAGGAGCAGGAGCAAGTAGCTTGTATTCCCTGTGCAGCTCCCATGACCTCTTCACCTCCTGTACAGGGACAGCAGCCAGGCTCATGCAGCAGGTACAGCTGCTGTGCTTAAAGCAAAGGGCACCTGGCACCATCACAACCACATAACCTATAGCACAGGCAGCTATTTCCCTGTAGTCAGGGTTCAGTGCCTGACAAACGTACGTGACATATTCCTGCAGAATTACAGAACAGTGAAATGACTAGGTGAAGAAGACTCATCTTCTTCTTTAATGGCACTTCAATTCGAGGAGACAGAGACCTGTAAATATTTTTAGTGCTGTGAGAAATTAGTTAAGAACACAGACTCAGGAGTTGCATTCTCCTTATCTTCCTGAAAAAACTTTTAAAGAATATGGAAGGGGGGGGGAGGTGAAGAAATCTTGAAGTATTGAGAATGATAAAAAAAACTTTTGGGCCCATATTTCCTGCCTACTTTCTTATTTGAGAATGATACATGAAAATTATGATTATTTTTTATTAGGAGAAGGGAGAGAACTGACTCTCGGCTTTCCCCCAGCTGTACATTAGTACTTGAGAGAATACGCAGTGGATCTGTTTCAGTCTGCTCTAAGGTAAATTTGCCTTTTGTTTGTTTGCTTACTTATCTAGTTCTCATGCATGCTATATCCTTTATGCAAATGAAATCAGAAGAAAAAAACCAATAAAACATACCCAGGCTTTTAACAGTTTTACTCCCTTCATTATCTGAACAGTTTATGCACAATTTGGAAGAATTGACCCCAAACATTAAAAGAACGTATTTTAAAGCAACTCTAAAAATCAGGATCAAGGGGAGTGTGATTGTCTGTTCTAAACCATCCCTTAACTCAGATCTTGTGAACTTTCAGGATCGGTTTCTTCTCAAAAAAAATGCAGTTGAATGAGAATATTGTTATCCCACTGTGAAATTATTAATCCTATAGAAGGTTTTGACTGGGTATTAAAAGCATCCTCCAAGAAGGGCTACCCAAAGAAAATGCACTTGCACAAAGCCTCATGCTTTTGACAAACTCATGCTGTTCCTGGGAAAAGACAAACCAAAAAGTTCTTTTCCTTCTTTGGAAAGGCTGAGACATGCAAATTCAAGTACCTTCATGTGGTCTGAATGGAGCTGGAGAAGACCCATTCAAGGCAGGCACCAGACCTGGAGAGAACTCCACTAAGCAGCCTTCAGAAGCCCACTCCAGGATCTTCACACTCCCTTGACTCAACTGCCGACCTCTTTCCTGTCTGCAACAGCAGCTCAGTCACATAACTCCTACTTCAAGGCCCAGTTTCAGGCCCTGATACCCATACACATCACATCCGAACAGAAGACTGCAGGCATTTCAGTCACTCGAATTACAGGAAATACAACATGGTTTAAGCAACACTTTGATAAACTTGAGTACACTCTTCAAGGCTGACCTACAGAGCAGAGTTTCAACTTTTATTAGTATAATATGTTAGTATTAGTTCCTGCCAATCCTTATCTGAAGCCGTTGCAAGTTTGCTCAATTTCTTTTCTCATTTTATTCAAGTGCTAGGAGAGAAAAAAGGGGGGAAAAGGTCATGCTAAAGAAATAGCATTCGGTATGAGAAATAAAAGCAAAAGAAAAGGTGAAAGGGAGAATAAAAGAGAAAAGGGGGGAAAGGGAGAATAAAAAAGGGGGGAAAGGAAGGGAAAGGGGGAAAGAAGGCAGAACTGCTGCTGGAGCAATAAAGATAGCTCACCTGAAGAGTATCTTCATCTCCAGAAGATGCTTGTTTCTTTACATCCAACTGCCTTCCTCCAGAAAAGGCCTTCAAGGCTCCTAGTGTTGAAAGCACTAGTGTAACGTAAGTCCATGTAGGTCTTATCCATCTGAAAGCTGCTACAAAATTGGTGTTTTTTTGGTGCCATGATATACATCATAGTTCAGGAAAGTTTCCTGAAAAGCAAAAACTTTCTAGGTAGAGTTTGCGTCAGATGCAACTCTCTCATCCAAGAAAAATCTCTCACAAACATTAGGGGAACTCTCTGAACTCAAAGAATACCTTTGCTGCACCATTGCTAAAAGCCTTTCCATACATGTATTGTATGTGTGTGAATTTGTTGGCCTTCTACAATTAATAAGTTCTTTTTCAAGGATAGACACCTAAAATACTACAAATACAGTCTCTGCCCTCTTGGCACTTATGAGGTCTGCCACAGCTAGAGTCTTGACAGGAAGGATTTGCCTTTTGGATGCCTTAACATCTCACTTGACCAGGCTACAGAACATCACATGTTAAAGAGAGAAAAACTTTCCCTCTGGTTTAACTAACAGGGTCTTTGGTGGAGCTTTACAAACTTTCTTTGGAGTATAATGGATGGAATCCATTCTGAAATCTTTTAATACTTTAATTGACCAGTTCCTATTACTGGAAAGGAACATTCTCTGATGACATCATGCAAGTCAAGGTTTAAGAGTTTAAGTTACTTAATTCCAGTGTAAATCTTTTACCTTTATATTTAGAGTGAGATCTAAGAATCCAGTGTTCTACTCTGACTTGTGTTGTCTTTACATTAGAGCAAGCAATTCTTTGGGTAAGAAAGAGTTCAGATTGCAAAGGGGCTGCAAAATGTGATTACAACAGCAGAACGATCAATGAACTTCTCAAGTTGAGCACTTTCAAAAGAGCTCAAAGAGTCTCTCACTGTATTATTTACAAAAAAAGAAAAGAGGGGGATGGGAGGACGTGGGGACACAAATGGACACCAAAATCATTCAAAGTCCAAAGGCTTTTAAAGAAGTTCAGTTCCACAACTTGACTATTGCAGTAGAGCCTTCATGAATGCTTTCATTTTAGAATACGTAGCTTTTTAAAAGGTCCTGTTGCCACCTATAAATGACACCAATCACAAGGGGCAGGGAATGGGGAATTCAGTTAAAAAACATATGGTAGGAAGGTATCATCAAGATTTATACAAGTCAAATTAGGAAATTTAGTAATTTTTTTGTCAATGCTCTTCTGTGAAAGATTGTATCATCAGTCCTTATATGGAGATTCCATTCAACGATACTCTACTGTCAGATTATTCACTAAAAAACAACCTCTCCTCTTGAGGAACAAAAGCAGTTAAGGTTCTCTAATTGACTGAAGTCTCCTACTTTACTTACATTTTCATTTCAATATACAATGCAGAAAAGTTATACATTCCTCAAATGCCTTGACACGACTATAATAGCACATGCTGAAGGCAGTGCAGTACTATTAGAATTTTAGATGTATTTTTTTCTCCATTTTAATGTGAAAACATTTGCAAGTTTTACTTATCCTTCCATTTTTTAAGAAGTGACTGAGGTTGGGGATAATGAACGATGAAGAAAAGACAAAATGTTTACTGTTGTTCAAGAAACCTGTTTTGGGGGTTGGTTGGTTTGAGATATAACAAATATTTCACTAGAATCCTTTTGATAACTTTGCATTTCTTACACTAATTAGCCATAATACATTTCCTTGAAACTATATATCTGTATGCTAAATATTGGTTTTTACTGCAAACTCTGAGGTGTTGCTTTATGTTTGTAGGAACCTGGGAATTCCACCCTGTTTTGGTGCAAGTTAAAGGAATTAATAAGCCCAGAAATGACAAGCCATTACTAGAGCTGAGTGAACAAAGACGGAATTCATTTTTAGCATTATGAGAAAGGTCACAAACTTGGGCATCTGACTTAGAAAATGCCAGCCTTCTGTGTCACAGTTTAGCCTTAACTTTAAGCTATTCTACCACAACAGTTCAAAAACATTCTCAGCTCAAGAAGAGTGGCACACTGATCATTCCTTATTTTTGTTAAGGAGTATTACATATAAGTGATGATGCCTAAACAAACTGTGACAATAAACCCAGAACTTAAAGCATCAAGCTCCCTGGCACAGTGGAAGCATCAATCCTCTTACAATATCAGGAGAATGAGATTTCAAACAGCATATTTTGAAAAGAAAAAAACCCCACAAATTAGGAACTTTACAATAATTTTACATTTGATAACAAATTGGGTTCACACCTGGAAAGGTCCACTTCCTTTATAGCTGTTTCTCACAGTACATAAGCTTCCTTTTAAATCAGAAGTATAGTTTCAGCAGGCCCTAAAGCCCTGCAGTGCATCAAGTAAAGCCTTTACTGCAAGCAGTATCATCAGTATAGTGAATGAATCACCAGTAGAATTTAAAACAGAATTAAAAGTTACATCTTTTTTCACCCGTGCAGCTTCAAAATGCCTACAGTTCTTGTTTCATACAGAAAAGAAATACTTTTAGATCACTCTGCAGTTACCTAAATCATTGATTATATATAGACAGCACATAGAAGTATATTAACTTTGTGTAAATCAAGATTTTATGGTTTATTGCGTTTGTTTACAATTTTTGTGGGGAATTTTTTTGGTGTAGCTTGACCTGAAATCATTAAGACATATCTACGTAGGTTTTTTTAAGATTCTTTTATCACACAGTGATCAATTCTCTACATTCATTTTCTATAGCTCTCTCAATTCCAGTTTTCCAGAGTTTGCAAGTACTAACACTACTGAGAAAGTACAAGTTCAAACACACCTACACAAACAAGACAAACTAGACAGAATATTGCAAATAAGGTTACCTTTTTTTTTTCTTTTTTTTTATATACAAATTTGTTTCAACCAGGCACAGAGAACTTTGGAACACACTATTGAAAGCCATCTATGATAATCTTTGAAGGTTAGGTGTTTGCAAATTCCCAGTCAAGCACTCATCTCTATAGTTTTAATAATGCATGCTCAGATTTATTTCCTTCAGCATTTCAAGTGAATTGTTCCTCAAACACAGTGGTTCTAAAACTGTACCATATTTACCAGAATAAGACTATAGATGGGCTAATTAAGTGCCACCACGTTCTATCCAACTGTGTGCTTTACTTCATGACAGAGCTCACTGCTCAAAGGCTGATCTCACAACAGTAGAAAACATATACAATTGAGCCAGGAGAAGGCAAAGGTTGGGCACTTGGGAACAGCCTGGGGCACAACAGTGAAATGTACTGGCCACAGCAACCAGAGAACCAGTACTGGCACACGGAACTTAAGGAAAACTGCATCATCAAACTGTACCATTACACAAAGTTCAAGCACAAACTTTTTTCCAATATTCCCAATTGGTCAGAAAGCTCTAAAGGACATACTATCCCCCAAACTTTTCAAGTGTGTAATTCTGCACATTCAATTCCACATTAAATCACAAAATAAGCACTCACTTTCCAGCCACCTGTAAATTTAACAAAAAACCCTTACAATTTAAGATTAGCAAATGCATTCCCAATCTACAGCTTCATGTAACATTACTAATAGTATGTCTTGTTAAAGAAATTCTCTCAAAACATACATACAATAGATACTGTGGGAAAAGGACACAGTGAACATATTATTTCATTCTCTCTAACAAATACCTAGTGATTATGGGCAGTGTTTTAATGCTGATGTTAAAAGTTTCATGATTCTTATTCTTCCAGTCCTGTTTTACTTGTAGCAAGAATTAAAACTTCAAAAGTGCACATACAACTGTGAAGACTGTGTAAGGGAGGACTTTGAAGAGTACAGATTAGTGCTTGTTCCACATAGGTGCAGCTATAGGTCCCTGTGAAGCCCTTTCAACAGTCACAAATTCATCAGGGTTGTCAAAAGCTTCATAGTGGATTAATAAATCTTGAATTGCACATTCCTCGATCTGGAAGAAAAAAAAGAACATGTATGTCAGTGTCAGATCTACATTTACAACACTGGCATAGTTATGAACTGGCTTTACTGGTCCTGAATGAATGCCTGTTACAGACCTCCAATCAGGAAGGAGTAGTAGGTGAGATTTTCTTCAGGCAACTTGAAGAAACCTCATGTTTTCAGGCCCTGCTCCTCATGGGAAACTGAACCACCATAGTATCTGCTGTAAAGGCAACACAGCAGGGCACAAGCAGTCCAGGAGGTTTGCATTGGTGAAAACTTCTTAACACAGATGATCAAGGAGATGATCAAGGGAGACACTGCTGGATCTCATACTTGCAAAAAAAGGACTGGTCAGGGATAAGAAGGTTGAGGGCAGCCTTGGCTGCAATGACAATGAGATGCTGGAGCTCGGGATCTTGAGAGTTAGGAACAAGACAAATAGCAAATAACAACCTGGGACGTCAGAAGAGAAGACTACGATCTGAAGGGGTCTGCTTGGAAAAAATTCAAGAGTTATGATCTCAGAAAGCAGAGGGGTCCAGGTCAGCTGGTTGATTTTAAGGATCATCTCCTCCAAGCCCAGAAATGGTTCATGCCAATGAACTTCTTAGCCCAGCAAGAGTGGCAAGAGGACTGCATGGACATAAAAAGAGCTCCTGACAAAACTCAAACAAAAAGGAAGCATATAAGAGGTGGAAGCAGAGAAAGGTGACACAGAAGGAAAACAAAGACACTGTAAGCACACAAGAACAGAATTAAGAAAGTCAGTGCCCATTTGTAGCGGAATCTGTCAAGGAACTTGAAGGGCAACAAAAAAAGCTTCTACAGCAGCAAAAAAAGACAACTGCTGAATGACAAAGGCACAGAAAAGGCTGGGGACCCAACAGTCGTCTTCATCTTGGTCTTTAGTGGCAAGATCAGTCTTGAGCAATCTCAAGCCCCTGAGATAAGAGCTGGCTAATATATCTGCAAGCCTCACTCTCAAAAAAAAAAAAATCTTTGAAAGATTGGTTCCTGAGAACTTGAAGGAATCAAATGTCAGTGCTACATTCAAAAACCGCAATAGGGTGACTACTTATCAGCAACCCTCATCTTGATCCCTAGGAAAGTGTTACAGCTTAAGTATGGACTAAGAGCTTAAG